GGTGGAGTTGTACCCGTCCCTTGGGCTGAGCCTAAGGCCAGCCGCTCCTGGAGGGACACAGAGCCAGTCAGGCCTAAGAGATGCTTTAACCTCCCTCGTGCTGATGCCGTGTGCTTTCTCCCGTGCTTGCAGGAGGCCTGACGCATGAGCTGAGCTCTCACTATGAATGCCATCGTTGCCCTCTGCCACTTCTGTGAGCTTCACGGTCCTCGCACCCTCTTTTGTACTGAGGTTCTACATTCACCGCTTCCCCAAGGCGCGAGCAGCGGGGACATCTCTGGGCAGAATGAGCAGGCAGAAGAGGAAGAAGGTGGCATTCAGATGAGCAGTCGGATCCGCTCACACAGCCCAGCAGAAGGTGCCAGCGCTGACTCCAGCAGCCCAGGGCCGAAGAAGTCAGACATGTGTGAGGCAAGTGTGACTGTCAGTGTGCGGATGTCGGTGGCTCTTGGATTCTGTAATGCAGATTGTGTTGTTTAGGAAAGGAAAATAAAAATGGGAGCTGCATTCGTTTTGTATGTGACCACCAGGACCAGAAGATCTCCAGCTCCTCATAAATCGTAATTATCCATGACAGGAGGATGAAGGAACTGCTGTTGAGCATAGAGACCTTGACAACATGGCTCTTTTAAGTCCTGTGATCTGTGATTCTTTTGTGGCGTGAGAAATGCTTCCCTTGTGCTTGGAGAGCATTGACTTTACTAGGTTAGGTCTGGTCAGTTATGAGTAGTAATTTTAAAAACGGTATTGATTAGGAAACAGGGAAAAAAAATTGCAAAAGCAATTGAAACAATAGAGAATATGTATGTTCTTAGTCATTCTGACGCTTGTCTGCTATTAGTATTTGTTCTGAGGTATCTGTTACTTACTGTCCTTTAGGTTTTGCCCAGTTTTGTTAGGCCAGTTGGTTTCACAGCTGCTGTTAACTGAATTTTACCGCTTGTAGAACTAGCACCAAGTTCACAGTCAAATTAATTAGTGGAAAATGATCATAAGAGCAGAGCAAATTCATCACACAGAGTTCCATTTGAAGACCTGTGTTCAAATCCTGACCCTGATCCAGATTTCCTGTCTTCTAAGTATTTGTTTTGAAGGGAGTGTGCAGAGGCCTTTGGAAACCTTAGATAACTGCATGCTCATTTATGGATGGATCTGCTTTTCTGTCTTCAGGGTTGCCGCTCTCTTGCAGGAGGACATCCTGGATATGTCAGCCACGACAAAGAAACTTCGATCAAATACGTCAGTCACCAACACCCCAACCACCCCCAGCTCTTCAGCATCGTGCGCCAGGCCTGCGTTCGCAGTCTGAGCTGTGAGGTAACTGCCGTGGAGTACGGGGAGAAAACCTGCTTATGGCCTTGTGGCATCCTTTCCTATCCAAGGTAGTGCTTTGCTGATCCTGGCTGCTCCGTGCAGGCTGAAACGAGGGAGTGGAGGTGGAAAGACAGACGCACAAGTCTCTTAGTTCTGGGATTGATGGGAATTTTTAAGGTTGATCTTTGATAAGCTTGAAGGTTCCTTCCTCTCACCTTGTGAGACCAAAAATTTCCCTTTCTTGTTTTCATTCCGATGTGTTTATTGATTTTCTTTGTAAGATAAACTGGTTTTGTAAGAAGGTTGGAATCTGTTGTTTAGTGCCAAGAAATATTCGATCTTTGTAGACCATTAATATTCAGTGTCTTACAGAAGCGGAAGGAGAACCTCACAGATTAATGAGCATTTGTATGTCAGGATCAGCAAAATCCCTTGTGGATTCTCAACTGTATCATGGTTGAATAGAGCTGAATTCTTAAAATACAGTTAAATTGGAGGTTTTGTAGTGTTTGTAGGATACCACTGGGGATCTGTTTGACCACAAGTTTGGATAGTAGCCTAAAAAAGGGTTTGTTTTATTCACCAAGCATGTGTTAAAGATCAGGAAGCTTTGTTCAGTTTACTGCTGTTTCAGCTGTGTGATGTGCTTAAGAACTTTGGTGTATGTGTCCCTCCCCTTCAGGTCTGCCCAGGACGTGAAGGCCCTATTTTTTTTGGAGATGAACAGCATGGTTTTGTGTTCAGCCACACCTTCTTTATCAAAGACAGCCTGGCTCGAGGTTTCCAGCGCTGGTACAGCATCATCACTATCATGATGGACCGGATTTACCTCATCAACTCCTGGCCTTTCTTGTTGGGAAAAATTAGAGGCATCATTGATGAGCTTCAGGGCAAAGCACTTAAGGTAGGTCAGTGCAGAGAGTCCGTTGGACTCAGCGTTAGTAAAACATTATGGTCATTCATTTACATGAAGCTCATTCAGCTCATTGCAGCCAGGGTGGTCGTTTGAGGTTGGCACAAGGGACAAGAGGATGGTGTGTATCTGGGGGTGTAGGAGGGAAGGAACAGGGTGCCTCTCTCATTTTAAGCCAGTCACAACACTTTTTGCAGACCCAGCTGCTAAACCATAGCTCTGGTAGAGATGTAAGTAGCTAGAATTATGAAGGACAGTGCTTTTTGAGTGTGTTACTTGACGTTAGTCAAAGATGTCCCTTCCCTCTTTTCCCATAATTTACAGCTTATTTTGGATGACTATGTGTGATGCACCATGTTCACATCATATTTTTGTTTTTTGCTCAGCTCTGTGTAATCTTTTTCTCCTTCTCTTACACTGCCCTTCTTCTGTGGTGTAGGTGTTTGAAGCAGAGCAGTATGGGTGCCCTCAGCGTGCCCAGCGGATGAACACGGCCTTCACTCCCTTCCTGCACCAGCGGAACGGCAATGCAGCCCGCTCCTTGACGTCACTGACCAACGATGAAAACCTCTGGGCGTGTTTACATACTTCCTTTGCTTGGTAATGCCACTCACGTTTCTAGAGTCTGAAACTCCTTCAGGAAGAGAATATTGTCATATTCTGAAAGGGTGGGAATGTGATTTGAGTGTTGGGGTAGTTTTTTCTTGAGGTAGCAAGCTGGCCTTTGTGAATTCGTCTCTGAATTGAACAGAGCTAAGCACAGCAGCCTGCTGACGCCTTTAGCACACACAGTATTCTTGCTGCCTTGAAGTGAATGTTCTAATGTGGCTGCTGATGGAAACCGTGTCTGTCTAGATGGAAAGTATAAAGGGAAATATGGAAAACAGCAAGAAAAGATGCTCCTACCCCTAGTGTGTTGTGCCTGGGATTCACACTTGGAAGTACAGCGGTGGTTCACCTGGAAGTGCCCGTGTATTGTGATGGGCAGCGTGGGAGGTGCAGCTCTTTGGCACAGTAGTATGTCTGTGGGAGTCCAGCTGCTCCAGTTCCTGACTTTGCTTATCCAGCTTCCCTGGAAAGACGCCGCAGGGAGCGTTGCAATACTGGCATGTGACTTGGATGGGGGACAAATATGTTGCACAAAGTAATTGCAAAATGGCAAGCGTTTTGGTGCCTTGGAGTGGCAGCGGTTGTAAGATATGTTGATAGTTACCACACTGAGTAAAGCGTGGAGAGGTGTTGAAAGGAAACACAAATGAGGTAGTGGTTGGATTTTTCTGTTGAGCTCTTCGCACCGTTTCTCACAGGATTTTTGCATCTAGCAAGCAGGCTTAGTGAACGCTGCTTCTGGTTTTTCCAATGTCTCCAGGCTTTTGAAAGCTTGTGGCAGCCGACTTACAGAGAAGCTTCTGGAGGGAGCACCGACAGAAGACACCCTCGTTCAGATGGAAAAACTGGCAGGTGAGATAGAAGTTTCCAGAGCTGGAAGACCTGAGAATGCTTTGGAGGGTAACACACCAAGTACTTTCATCAGCATCGTAAGCGCAGCCATCTCTCATCATCTTCACCTTAGCGGAGGTCTCTGCAGCAGCTGATGTGCTCTCCCGTGTGTAGAAGAGGGAGAGCCTCTCTGACAGGCATGGCAAGTCAAGGCCTCGGCCTCGCAGGCTCTCTGCACGCGCATGTGGTGTTTGTTACTCATTTAAGTGTTGCATCATTATCATTATTGTTCTGTCTGGCTGGGTTGGCCCTCCCAATTAATCTCTATGGCCGGAAGAATTGGCAGGCACAACATATGGAATTCTTGCTGCTTTTTCTACAAAATTTCTAAAATTAAAAGATCATAATTTTGTTCTTCCATTGAATTATTTTATTAATCCATTTAGACTAGAATCTGTAAAACCTGCTTCAAAGCTTTGGCCATGACCTTTAAAGCAAGAACAGAGGACGTGCAGCTGGTCAAAAGAGGTGACTGTGTTCTGTAGGTGAAAATTCCTTCTTGACCCTTCAGTGTTTATGTCTGAACTGTGAAACGTCATCACACTTCAGGTGTGTCTGTGACACTGGTACTCTCAGTTAGTGAGTTCTGGACTCCCCACACAGAGCCAAAACCAGCTGGCTGCACTGTGTATAGGCACTGGGGAGGCAGTTACCATTCCTAGAGAGCAGGAGTTTTTATGACCACTCTGCCTTTTTTTTGCTAGACCTGAAAGAAGAGTCGGAAGGCTGGGATGGTTCCGAGGAAGAAGAGAAGCCTTCTTCCCAGCCAGATGTTGTAGAAGGCCAGGAGCTATCTAAGTGTTCCCCTGAAACCTCTCTGATGCCCGACTGCAACAGCTGGAACATAGCTCACAGAAGGTTGTCTGTCTTTCGCTCTCTCAGGCACATGAGACAGGTAAGAGAGGAGCACAGTTACTCTGACCTGAACTCACAAGCTAATAACCTCTTTCCTCCTGCTGCTGTGTTTTGAAAAGATAGATTTATTTCCTGCAGTCTGCGCTTCTTTCCCAGTTTTGTGTTCAACACCGTGCCTACACAGCTAGTAACACAGTGTTAACGGCATCCCTGAGGACTCTCCCTTCCGCTGAGATCATGTGGGCCTCTAGTGATCATCGCTCATGTGGGATGGGATCATATGATTTCTCTCAAATTCCTCGTTTTTCTCCCGAAGAGCAGCGATGGTAATTGAATAGAGAGGTTGTGCAGCGGCTTCAAAACCAAGTATTACTTGCTTAAAACAAAAATATTTCAGAGTGGGGAAAATATTTTCCAAATGGAACAGCTGGTTCTGTACAAATCTGGCTTTTCAGCAGAGCTTCCAGTGACCTGGCTGAGAGGGGAGGTTCAGTGCATTTGACCCACAATCTCTGTCACACCAGCTTGTTTTCCTGGACAAATAGCCTCCCATATTTTTGATTTTTATCTGCTTTTAACTCTTTAGCCTCCTTTTGTTCTACTTTCTCCTAATTCGGAATGCTTGAAGCTATTAAACTACACTGCATTGCACATGTGTGCCTTTGTGGGCTTGTCTAAGAATATTGTTTCATCTGAAAATAGACTTGTGCCTGAATCGGTGTTGTGACCATAACCTAGCTGAGAGAAATGCCTGAAAGTTGTTCCAATCTCGTGGAAGTTGTTCAGTCCCCTTCCAAATGGGCCTGTGTCCATCTTGCCAAAACTGGTAATTTGGCCAGCAAGTGGGCTGATCGCTGCACTCTGGCCAGAGCACTGAAGAATCTGGAGCAGCTGAGAAGTGAAGCTGTTGTTCTCTTAACGTGCTTGACGTTGGGCTGGATCGGAGGTTAGGCACGTTGGCAAAGCGGTACTTCGCGGCACTGTTTGTTCTTGGAACCGCGGATGGGGCTGGATGTAGTTTGCCTGACAGTCTGATGCCTTTCGCACCTAGCAAAGAAATACTTGTTATTGGTGCTGGGGTTTAGGGCTCTTACTCTGTGCCCAGGACCTGCTAAATCTTCATGTTCCCTTCTGCTGCTCGGTTCTAGCCGTTTTCTGGTGGAGCACTCGTGTTTTTGGCAGGGCAAGCGGTACGTTTCACTGATTTCCATAACCAATGCAGAATGGTTTGGGGTTTTTTTTTCAGGTTCTTGGGGCATCAGCATTCCGCATGCTGGCTTGGCATGTTCTGATGGGGAACCAGGTCATCTGGAAAGCTCGAGATATGGATCTTGTCCAGTCTGCTTTCGATGTGCTACAGGTAGAAACCGTTTCCTTTGTTTCCTGGCTCTGTATATTTACATGTATTTCCCTACGATTCCAGCTTTCATAGTGACCTGTCTCTGACATGTAATCTGGTGGAGAATGTGTCTAAATTACATGGGTTTGAAAAATATAACAACAAAAAAAAAACCCCAAACAACCTAAAAACACCTGCCAACCAAAAACCAAACCAACCTTTGGATCTCTCTGTTGTCCTCCGCAGCTGCACGGCCTTTCAAGCTGAACTTCTGATCCCCCAGATCAGGAGCATCTGCCTGAGCCCTGGGAGCCAGAGAGAGAACTGTACAGGACTTGTTCAGTTCTGGTGTTTCTCTTGATGTGTTTCCTTCCTTCTCCAGACTATGCTGCCCGTTGGTTGTGTGCGGATCATCTCCTACAGTGACCAGTATGAAGAGGCGTATCGGTGTAACTTCCTAGGGCTCAGCCCACACGTTGAGATCCCATCCCACATACTAGCATCGGGTAAGAACCTGTTGCAGAACTCTCTCCTTTCCCCATCATCTTCTGCTAAAGGACACGATGATTTTTTTATTAAGTATTGGCAGACAGTCTAACAATGCTGCACTAATTAAATCTGTACCACTTAATTTTGTGGGTTTTCCCCATATCCTCACCTGATCAGTACCGGAAAGGTGTGACGCCTGCTTTAAGCACTGACCATACCATGGCTGACAATCCTGGTTCCTACAGAGCAGGGTGTGTAGCTGTATTTTAGAATCTGGGCTTGTACGGTTCATGTTCTTTTGGGCTCTTGTCCCTCCAGAGTTTGCGGTCCTCGTGGAAGTTCGCACTGCTACCCGCTCCACTCTCTACCCAACTCTGTGTGATGATGAGCAGTCCCTCAACAAGTACGAGTTTGTTGTCACCAGCGGTAGCCCTGTTGCGGCAGATCGAGGTGGGTGATTTGATAGCAGAAAGAACCTGTATCGCTGAGGTTAAAAGAGCATCTTGATCTTTAGCAGTTTTTTATGCTCTTCATGCCCTTAAGGTGGTCTTGAGTGGAAGCCGGGTCAGTATACACCTGCTGTTTGAGGTGAGGCTTACCATGGTCTGATCATAAAGGGTTTGCTTTACCAGATCAGTGTTTTGCTTACTAATTTTCAGAAATGAGAAACAAATTGTGTAATGTGGGTACAGTAGCAATTGTAATAACCCACAATGAACAGTTTCTATCCCGAAATACTTGTGTGTTCATTTTGGGCGAGTTTAGCTTGTGAGGACCATGACATTACTCCTGGCCCACATTCCACTCGATAGACGGGTATGACTGACACAGAAATGCCCTGACCTTTTTTCTTTTTGCCTTCTCTGTTCAAGGATGTGAACACTTGCATCTAGATGTGATTTGAGCCAGGTCCATGAACAGTTTCTATCCCGAAATACTTGTGTGTTCATTTTGGGCGAGTTTAGCTTGTGAGGACCATGACATTACTCCTGGCCCACATTCCACTCGATAGACGGGTATGACTGACACAGAAATGCCCTGACCTTTTTTCTTTTTGCCTTCTCTGTTCAAGGATGTGAACACTTGCATCTAGATGTGATTTGAGCCAGGTCCTTCAGTCTCGTGTTCTGGGAAGTCTCAATTTAGATGAATTGGCCTCACTCACTGTCTCAAAAGATGGCTAATCCTTCCTGTGCTGTCCTCCAAAGATGCAGGCGCAGTGCAGAGCAGAGACTTCCTCCCTCCCCAGTGTTCTTCCTGTGCTCCAGCAGCTGTTCTAGGTGCCATGTGTAATTACAGCAGTCTGCTTGGCATCCAACCAGTGGCATGTCCAGAATCTTCTGGAAAGAAATAGTCACTGAAAGGTCTTTTCTCCATCACATCATCAAACTTCTTAGACCATGGACTGCTTGTGGCAAAAAGCCTCCTAGGGAATTCCAAAAAGTGGTCTGGGAAAGGAATGCCTTGGGTCAGTTGTGTTTGTTTTTATACTGGAGCCTGGAACTGCCCTTAACAAGAGGAATATTAAATCAAGAGGAAGTAGAGATTTGAAATTGGGTTTTTGCTTTCTCTGTGTATGTATGTATGTTGTACCAAGCGTGCAGAGTTGTCAGAACTTTGCGTTTTTAACGGGCTTTTGAGATGGGATTAGAAAGGCCAACATCCAAACGACTTAAGTTTAAAGGTAGCTCTGAAGAAAACAGAGAACGTGTGTGCACGTCCCAGGATCCCTCACAGAATTCTGTGGCGCTTCTTGGATCAGATATTTTTCTGGTGGGATGATCTTTAGCTCCTCTTCCATGGAAATGAAATCAAGGCAGGCCGTGGGGTGGGTATATTTTGCCACCTTGTAGAATAGGTAGGTTTCTTCGTGACTCGAGGAAGATTATTATCTGTGAACTGATCAAGCCAAACCCTGTGTGGAAACTGGCTGTGCTGTTATTAATAGCGTGGCTCTCTGTGTATAGAGGAGGCTGCGTTAATGCACCAGACCCAAGCACTGGTGAAAAACGGGTGCTTTTGAGCAGAATAAGAAGTGGAAAACGGGTATTGTCTGTAATGCCAGCACGTATCCAGGCCCAGGCCATAGAATACATGGCCTAGTCCTTGCTAGCAGTTACTAGCAGAGGTGTAAGCGGGTAAGCTGTAACTTCTGCATCCTCTTTCTCACCCTTCTCCCCCTCTCTCTGATCCTGTAGTTGGCCCTACAATCTTGAACAAGATCGAAGCTGCCCTGACCAACCAGAACCTTTCCGTGGACGTTGTGGATCAGTGCCTTGTTTGCCTGAAGGAGGAGTGGATGAAGTAAGTACCACTGCTTCGCCTTCAGAGAAGCAGCGCTGGCACTAATCCTGGAACCGGTACAGCAGAGCACAGGACAAACCTGTAGTTGGGTATCTTCTTTTTGAGTCTTGAAAGTAGTTGGCTTTGCTGTTGGGAGCCAAGAATATCGGAGTTCTACTCTAGTCCTAACTGCCTTTGTGGCTTTCAGCAGCTCTTCACCGTTGTGCTTCGGGTCACACATCTGTAGGTTACCTGCGTGACTGTGCTTGTCTGCTCGGTGGACGTTGGGAGGGTTAAGTATGCACATACTTGTATGCCTGTCGGAGCGCTGTATCCAGCGCAGATAACGTACCAAACAGGTGTCAGGGCTGCGCCTTCAGGCGCCACGTTTCAGAGGTGCAAGTGGTTGTAAAGGAAGGCCAGACGGCCGTGGGAAAGAATTCCTGGAGCATTAGGGTCTTGTGAATTTACCTAAAGGCCAGATGGGCACTAGATATGTCTCCCAGGGGGAGTTGTCACAACTAATTCTTCTACTTTTCGCTAGGATGAAAAAGCAGACTAGGGGTACACATATTACTACTGGAAATGAGTAATCCCTCTAACTATTCCCCCCTTTTCTTGTACTCTTCTTCCCCCCGCATTGC